AAACAAACAAACAAATCCCGTTTCGACTGTCCTTTAATTGGAGAAAACTCCCTTGTACCCTCGTGGGCGCGGAAAAAGGAGGTGCGACAACATCTAATAATGACTTGCTAACATAATAAATTGGAGACTGTTTACCTCGGTCTTCACGAACTAGAACAACACTCACCACTACTTCTAAACAGCAAGGTAGATGAGTAATTTCTCCCCATCTTTTAGTTTCACAAGCAACAGTGGATTTGACAAGTATACTTTCAAATTTTTAAGCGCTTGCTGACATTCCTTAGACCATTCAAACTGATCCTGCCTTTTTAGAGCTGAAAAGAACCTAAAACACTTTTCTGATGATTTAGAAATAAATCTTCCCAAAGCTACTATTCTTCCTGTCAGTCTTTGTACCTCTTTTTTGCTTGTAAGTGTATCAGAAATTTCCTCAATAGCTTTAATCTGCACGGAATTTACTTCAATGCCACGGTTAGAAACGAGAAATCCCAAAAACTTACCTGACGAAACGCCAAATGCGCATTTCTCGAGGTTTAGCTTCATGTTAAATTTGAGAATCTGAAATGTATCAGACAAGTGTTGAATATGATCCCCTGCTTGTTGTGACTTGACCAACATATCATCTATGCAGAATTCCATGGTTTTCCCTAAATGTTCTTGAAACATTTTGGTCACCAACCTTTGATATGTGGCTCCAACATTTTTGAGGCCAAATGACATTACTTTGTAACAGTAAGTCCCCCTATCTGTTATAAATAAAGTTTTTTCCTCATCTATGGGATCCATTTTGATTTGGTTATACCCTGAATATGCATCTAAAAAACTTAATAATTCATGTCTTGCAGTAGCATCAATTAGTTAAACTATATGCGGTAATGAAAAAGAATCTTTAGGACAAGCTTTGTTTAGGTTAGTATAATCTACACAAGCTCGCCACTTACCATTCTTTTTTGGTACTACTACAGTATTAGCTAACCAATTTGAATATTTTACCTCGCGGATAGACCTAATTTTTAAAAGTTCTTGCACCTCATCTTGAATCACCTGATTTTTGAAAGATCTTTGCTTTCTTTTCTTTTATTTGATAGGTGAATATGATGGATCTTGATTTAACTTGTGAGTCATTACTTCCGGAGGTATTCCTGTCATATCAGCATGGGGCCAAGCAAAACAATCCGCATTAGTTTTCAAAAATCAGTCAACTTACCTTTCATTTTGTGGCTTAGGTTAGCCCCAAATGTAGACTTTCCTTTCAGGCCAAGGTGCGAATAATGATACAACTTCCAACTCTTCAATCGTTGTCTTGATGTTTTCATTTTCCTCTGGTTCTTGGATGGAATTGGGCCTTGAGTCTACATCTGTTCGCTTGTGTTCAGTTGAGGCTTGTGTTGTAGCATTCTCAACTGGATTCTGTAATTGCTATTTTTCTTCATTTTTTGCGCTTGAATCTGCTACGGAGTTGATGCTCCTAGATGTCTGCTGATCACCACGGATTTGACGTATTCCCCATTGTGAAGGGAATTTATAATTTGATGCAGGGTAGATGGCACAACATCCATTTCGTGAATCCATGGTCTACCGAGAATCATATTATAAGCCATATCCATCTCTACCACCTGAAATTTCGTATCTTTAACAACTCCTTCTGAAAAAGTTGTGAGTATTATCTCTTCTTTTGTTACGACGCTCGAGTTGTCAAAACCATATAAGGTATGCGCCTTGGGTATCAGCTTATCTTCAGCTTGTATTTCGTTTACCACTCTTAGCAAAATGATGTTCACGGAGCTACCTGGATTAATCAAAACTCGTTTCACATTAGTGTCATGTACAAGTAAAGATATTACCAGTGCGTCATTGTGTGGGGGTTAGTACACCATCTGCATCTGCATCATCAAATGTAACATTTTCTTCTTCCAAAACACGTCGAACTCGCTTCCCGTATGTGACATTAATTTTTGAAACTTTCTTGGCTGCCGTATATGTTACGCCATTAATTTCTTCTCCTCCGCTTATAACATTAACAGTCCTTTTTAGTGAAGTAGGTTTAGGGGGGCCTTCCTGTTCTTCATATACGCTTGCTTACCTTTTTCACTAAAAAATTCAGTTAGATATCCTTGCTTTAACAAATGGTCAACTTCACCTTGTAGCAATCTACAATCTACCGTTTTGTGACCATGATCGTTGTGGAACTCGCACCAGAAATTAGGGTTTCGCCTATTCGGATTTGATCTCATTTCCTTTGGCCATCACACCTTATCTCCCATGCTTCTTAATACTGCTACTAACTCTGATGTGCTACCATTGAAATTATACCCGTCAAACATCGCCTTTGAGCCTCTATCATCATCTCGTGTCTCTCGCGCGTTTCGCTCTTTTCCAAACCTTGATGATGAGCCTGATTCTCTATCTCTCGATCTATGATAGTATCTTGAGTTATCCTGCTTTGTACGCGAGTCTTTTCCTGCTGGTCCCATGTAGGGCTCGTACCTGTTTTTACCAGATCTTTTTTCAATTTCAGCACATCTCGAACTTACCCTCTCCTCTTTTTGAGACCGAGAGATGGTATCTTCTTCTATCCGCAACTTTGTATTGTATCTGTAGTAAACATCATTCCAAGTTGTTGCTGGAAATTTACGTAGACTTTCCTTGAGTCTTCTCGTGGTTTCTAAACTTTTCTCATTTAAATTGCTGGCAAAAGCCATAGCTGCCCAGTTATCAGGTACGCGTGGCAACATCATCCTTTCACGCTGGAATCTGTCTACGAATTCTTTGAGCAGCTCCGAATCTCCTTGCTTTATTTTGAAAATATCTTCCATTCTTTTTTCGACTTTTTGAGCTCCCGAGTGTGCTTTGATAAATGAATCTGCAAGCTCAGCAAAAGAATTTATAGAATTTTCGGGTAAAAGAGAATACCATGTTAATGCTCCCTTAGTGAGTGTTTCACCAAATTTTTTGATCATTCAATTTCTTGTTTGGTCAAGTCGTTGCCCTTTACACCAGTTGTGAATGTAGCCACGTGGTCTCGTGGATCAGTTGTCCCATCGTATTTTGGAATATCGGGCATCTTGAATTTCTTCGGAATTGGTAGAGGAGCAACACTTGGCTTCCAAGGTTGTTGTGAATATTTGTCCATATCTATTCCCTTGATTACATGCGGTACTCCAGGTATTTTCTCTATACGGTCGCTTTGCTACTTGAGCTGTTTCTGCAAAGTTAACACTAAATTTTGTAAATCAGAATTAACTATGTTACCTGGTTCTCCATCACGAGATTCGCTAGGAGTTCCGCCACTGCCTGAATTAACAAGTCCAGAATGAGGGTTTTCCAAAGTGTTGTTATTTGGAGTTGGTGTTGGTGGTACAACCGACAACTGGCTGGTAAAAGCCTGGAGAGCGTTATTGACCTGTTGAGCAATTAATTTTTTAAGAGCTTCATCGAGAGCTTGTTCATTTGCGACTCTGTCATTTTCATTTGATTCAGATCTGTCTGGAGTCCCCTCTCGTGATTGTCGCTAGGAATGTTGTGGCGAAGGAGGTGGGATTCTGTCATCTCGATTGTTCATTTGATGCTGTGGATCTTGAGGTGGTAAATTGTGTTGGTTATTGTCGTTGACATTCGACATGATTGTTTTTGATAAAAGAGTCGATTTGGAAAGCAGACGATTATAAAATTCCCGGTAACGGAACCAATTTGTTTAACCAAAATGAGGATTTCGGTCAAAGCTTATTTTTAGAAGAACTGGGGTTACTGATAATCAAGTAGAAATAGGAATAATTGATGTAAATAATAACTGAATAGAAAGCAAAGTAAATCAGTATATTCCAATAGTATTTCGTGTCCTTACAAATGCTCATTCCTCACCTTTTATAGCTATTTCTAAGTAATATGTTTCTCTACTTTCATAATGGAATCATTATGGACAATTAATGATATTTAATGTAACGTTATAATTAGCAATCGTAACTGATTCAATACAGATTCTATAACGTTTTCCGTAAATAATGCCTATTAATTACCAATAATACGTATCTATATCCCTTTTGCTATTTAGGTCCATTCTTCCGATGCGTCTTCAGAATATCAAGAGGTCCGAACACCTATCCCTTCTGGTTTTCTTGGATCTTGGTCCGTGCCTGCTGAAGCTCGTGCCTCTTCAACTATTCTTTGCCAACTGTCATTCCTTTACCAGTCCACGTGTCATGACATGTCACCTCATAATTAATTCGATACATGAACTTAATTTTCCCCAATACAAGTTCGAACTGTGAAATCAGCCACTAATGTTTGCATCAAGGTAGACTGTCTATATTACACCCCTTGGGGTGCGATCTTTCCTCGAACCGTGCATGAATACAGAATACTTTATGCATCAAACTAGTCTTTTTGGTAATTTTAAAAAAGGATTCCAGCAACATGCAGTGGGAATAATATGTGTCATCTTGGTGGAAGATGACATGAGCTAGGTCTAATTGGTTTAAGAAAACCAGTTCATAGTGGTCCTAACTCCTTGATGCTGATGAAAGCTACAAGTGCTATTGAAGCGGAATACCACCAATCGAAAATACAGGATTACATAGACAGAACAAATTAATTATCCCATATATTTAATTGAAACAATATTTTAACACTACTACTTGTAGACATACATTATCGCTGACAATGCTAACATATTCAATCTCCTTTAATCTATTCTCTATCATATAGAAGTTGAACATCCGGTATTCTTATAGAAGAATCATACTAAAAAGAGTATTGAAAGGAGCGAGGGAATGATGGCGCCGCAACCTTGGTCTATATGTTCCTCGTGAGACACCAAGTACTAGTCTCGCAACAGTATTGGTGCAGAATTAATAAGGATTGGTCCCTCACTTGCTGATCGTTTGCTAATTCGAAATCGCTCTCTTGCCACGCCTTTCACTCAATCGCTTGAGTCGGATTCAATCAATCTTCACTCTAGTTTGGAGGATTTTATGTTGAAAGAGCTAGATAATTAATTTTATCAACTAATTACTCCTCAATCCAAATTGTGTTATTGGTAGACGGTGCTTTTGCCTTTTTGGTTTTCAAACAATTGGGCCAATGCTTAGTCCGAGATTAACCTCCGACAAGACTAGCCATCATATTAGAGGAGAAAATAGTCTCATGGACCACCAGAATCATTGAACTTAATGATCCATTAATCTGTATTACGTGAAAAAATCCACTTGTTGCTCTTTACTATTATATGGTACCATATTGTACGAATTCAATAATTTAGATAAAGTAGAACTGTCGTATGGTGCGATAATTAATAAATCAATAACAATATAGTTGACAAAAGCAGCATCTGTTTTGTCTGTATATGAATTAGTTCTATTGTGAAGAAAATGGAGAGGGAAGAGGGCCGGAGCCCGGGAATAAGAATCATATATAGACCTTTTAATTTTAAAATCAAATGGCTTTTTTCTTCTTTTTCGTATTAACTGTAGGTACTATGTTTTAGATAACTAATCTTACGATACGCCTGTAGCGCGTGTAACCTATCTAAATGAGTATAAAACTTTTAAAATTATATGAATATTATTTTTGAATTAAAATAAATGTGTAAATTTATTTCAACAAAGAAAATTGATTCTGTATAGCTAATTCAATAAGAAATATCAATTTATACATTTCACTCTCTATGTTTTCTTTTAGCTCCTTCAACTACTACCTTAAATTACTTATAAATAAATGTATCTAATTTATTTTCATTAATTTCAATATATGAATTGATCTTAGCTATGTTTTACTTTTCGAGTATTGAATTGGATTTGTAATTTAATATGGTTTAAATTTACAATATGTATTCAACTTATTCAAATAATTAGCTTAAAGTACAATATAATACTTATTACTTAAATTGAAATACTACTATTATTTTCAAAGCATAAGCATGTCGTATTAAACATATTTATAAATATTTTCATAGCCGACCTAGTATGTTGTAAGTTTGGTTTACATATTATTAGTAATCTTTAATTTTTGAAGACTTAAAATTAGATCTAAAATTTTATTAGTAGATTGCTAACACGTTTATATACATTTTGTCTAATACACATAAGATAAAGTCATAATTACTTTACACAATTTATTTAAGGAAATGATTTATAAATAAATTTTTATTTGGTTTTAAATTCCTAAAATTTAGGAGTTTCTATATATGTAGTTCGAATAAGGGAAGATTTAATGACCAAAATTTAGTTGATTTTAAAGTCCTAAATATTAGTGGAACAATTATAACCAATATAAAATCTATTCAAAAGGCGAATGACATTTCGTTAAGGGACTTCGTGCTAGGATATCCACGATGTGCGTGTACCTTCTATCGATGCGTATAAAATTATCAAAAATATAAGCCTTTAACAATAAGATTTTTAAAAATATAATCTCTTGAATATGACGAATATTGAGCCTACTGAGTCAAAAATAAATAGCGGATGACCTATCTAACCATGACAACAACTAAGATAATCTTGAAAGTTTAGTGTTATTTTGTATGTCGTTCTTTTATATTAATTTCATATCAAAATAGTCGTCTAGGTGCCATGAATTCTAAGACAAGTTAACTATAAAGAGAAGAAAAATTAACGATAGACAAATTATGTAGTTAAATAATAAAATTCATCGTCAGTCCTACTTAGTGACGGAAACAGTTATATATTATAAAAATCTTATTAGCTATAAGATGAATTTAGTAACTAACTCCTGTTTTATAAAGTTAAATTATGTAACAAACTTTCTTAGTAATAATATTATTTTCTTTTTTACCAAAAAATAAAATTCCTTACCCATCTATTTATTTTAACATATGCATTGAGGTAATTTAGGTATTTTTGTAAATTAAATTATGATAATTAATTTCTTATCACAAATTAATGATTACTATTTTTTCAACAATAATTACTATTTCAAAACCTAATGCCATAGTAAATTTTAACGAATTTAACAACCAAGCTTCTAAGAAAATACCTATGATTTAAATCTCAAAAACAACAAATAAATCATATGAAAGGAAAATAAAGGATATGATTAAACAAGGACAAAGAAAAAAAAATACCGCATAAAAACGTGAAGTTTCCTTGTTGGAAACCAACAAAAATCTTTCCTCCTACTTTTTTTTTTGTTTTTGTATTCTTTTATGTCTTAATATATTGTATCCTTATTAGGAGAAGATATCAAACATTAAATTATGTTAAAATTTTCTTATTTAGAACTCCTAAATATAGGGATTTTTTTTGTTTTACAATTTTATCCAATGTAAATATATTTTTAAAGGGTAAAAAAACGAACAATATTTCGTTAAGAGCATTCGTGCTTTTAATATAGTATAAATTATTACTGTATGAATTTAAGTTATATATGCCTAGCTAACAGTGTAATACATTTTATATTATCTATTTAATTTATCATGTTATAACAAGTTACTTATGTGATTCTAATTAATTAATCTCCTCGCAAAATAAATGAGACAGAGTAATATTGCATAATTAGTGCTAAAAGAATAACGTCACATGTTTTTCAATTTTATAAAGTATATTGGATCAATAATCCAAGGTAACGAGGAGATTGACGAGTATGTCACTCATCGTATTGGGGCGTGGTGGGATAAAATGGAGGCACACTTCCAGTGTTCTGTGCGATAAGAATGTGCCACCTAGACTTAAAGTAATTCTATAGAGTGGTTGTTAGGCCGACTATGATATATGGAACAGAGTGTTGGTTAGTCAAGAGCTCTCACGTTCAGAAGCTGCAAGTAGTGGAGATGGTGATGCTGAGATGGATGTATGGACATATA